TTTCTCTGCTCGTTCTTCTGTGCTTTTGTGCTGCCTCCTTCATCTGAAGCAGATATTAGAATATCTGTATTTAAGTCACACGTTGCTTCTATTTTTTTTTTATTTGGCAAATAAAGCAAATCACTGTGATTTTATGCTTAGTCCTATGTTCAATATTGTTGTCACTCCCTTTTCTTATTTTACATTTTGATGATTTTAATAAAGTGAATTTCAAATCAATTCTAAATATTTAAATTCAGGTGGTATCAGGGACATTGTGTCACACAACCTTACAGCAAGTTTTAGCTTTAAAAGTTGAGTTACGTTACATTTTTCATAAGAAAATCCCTGATCCAACGGAGCTACTATTTCTTTGAGTGCTGAGCCCAAAGGGAGCAAATCATTTCTCCATTATATTCAGTTGTCATTTAGCCTGAGATGGTGGCCACTATCAAGGGACAGGTGGACCCAACCTAATGTTTGGTCTGCTGAGTAGAAAAACGTTAAATCTCTTGAAATCATTGAAATGGTTTGAACAACAAGGTAGAGATGAAGATGGACTATTCCTGCCACTGTATGTCTCTGAACCCTCTCAAGATGTGCCTAAATACATATAAAAATATTTAAGGCAAGCACAGGATACAGGGAAAGATCTTTACAAACTGTGTCTTGTTTTATCTGAAAATGAAAAAAAAAGTGTTATTAAGGGATTTACAGCATAAAATACTTAATGTATCATATGAGCATGTTGAAAGCATACAATAGAGCTAACACAGAAGAGTGTTATGATTCTGGGCTACCTGTCTGCGTGCTCTCTCACACTCCACCTGCACCCCTGCAATAAGGATCATGAGTGAGCTGTGAGCCTTCTTTGCCTACTTTCCTGAACCCAGTTGTCATTTCAATGGATTTTACTGTCGCACCTTGCCTACACCTGACACCTCATTGGCTGCCGTTTTCTGTACATCAACCAAGTTTCTACCCCACGACTTGCACCTCTTGCCTAGCAGTCTGATTTTCTGCCTGATCTGCCTCCCTTGGCTGCCCCTTACTTCTCCAATGGATCCTCCTCTAATCTAAGTGAGTCAGCCCAGTGCTAAGGTTAAAGCTGCTGGTTTCGGCCTTGACACAGCCTACTGTGACGTCATCATCCTCTCAACTGTTGTTTTCTGCATCAATTCAGAGCCCAGTGAACTACTTATTATAACCTTTGCCACCAACTGGACTCTGAAAAGGTCAGTGGTGTTATTTCTGAGTTTTCTGTCCTCCATCGAATCCTCAGCAGCCACTAACCTCTTTCCCTCTCTTTGTATTGTTCCTGAGGGTGCTGCTGGCAGTTTTCTGTTTCCCACTGGAGTGTTTATTACAATCAACGGTTTACGAAGTACTGTACTACTGGCTAAAATATTGGGTTGTCTGTCTGTTACCCACAAAATAGGCTTTTGAGGAATAGATAGTGTGGTATATTGAGCTTATGGGCTCTCCGTCGTTTTCCTATGTTCTATGTGATATGAACCGGCCTAGATAGACACGAGCCACAGTTGGCATGTTGTAATAATGTTTATCAAGTATTTCAGTAAATGTGGTTAAATGTGTGCAAAGTGTCTCATCATTAATACACATCAGATAATAAAACATATATGCAAAAACATTTTGGAAAAAATCCTGATATCTTGTTGCTGTAATGACTTTGCATTATTTTATACATCTTTTAAAAATTATCTCTGTCTTAAAAGGTTTGTCTAAAATTTTGATTTGCCATTTAGATCAATCAAATATCTTAAAACTGTAAAAAAACTCAACTAGACTGTAACATATAATATAACATGTATTAAAAATGTCGTGCTAAATGGATTCTCAGAGTTCAGAATTAAATGGCATATAACATCAATAGCCAATATTTTTTTATTAACATTTTCCAGTTCAATTCCAGCATTTAGTCTTCCTTAATAACGAAACAGTGACTTAGATTTTTACATGAAATTTACCCTCTGCATGCATATGGGGCTGTCTGACGGAATCATAGATTTGACAGATTTTTCTTTGTGGAATAGCAAGTAAAGTCAGCGCCTTTGAAACGGGGGATTACGGTTCAAATCATGGTGGTGTCAGGAAGGGCATTCAGCTCTGCCATGTGTGCGTGCAAGTTGCTCTGACCTGCAGTGGCGACCCTGCAAAAGGGAGTTTAATTTTAATCTGCATGTTATGAGCTAAATTCCCATAACAACATGGAAGAACTAAAAAGACAAAAAATTGCTCATTTAACACAGATTAGGTGGGGTTTTTTGTATATTTACCATATGAAGTCCTATCCCATTAGAGTTCCGTCATTTTTTTCCACCATTTCATGTTTTTAAAATTACTTTCATGTTTAATTTAATTCCCTTTTTGTGTTTCTCACAAAAGTGTACAATACATGCACTTGTATGCATTCAAGCTAAAGCCACTTAACCATGAAGAGACAGGGCGCAGTTCATTGCTCACCTTGGCTGCCTGGATCAATGGCGGCGTGCCTTCTCCAAATCTCTCCTACAAACATACCTGAATAAACAGACACAGAGCATTTACACAGGCACTGATAATCCGCTAATCCTTATAACCTGCTTTTGAATCAACAAACACTCACCTGCACTCAGGAGTGAAATGCACACTGATACTGTTTACATATAGAGACACATTTAGGGACTTCACACCTACACACTAGTGTTCGAATGCACACAGGCACACACAAGTGACTTTTCCCTATTATCCTCTGTGACCTCCTCTGAGGGGTATGGTTGATAGTCCCATAGAGGTTAAGGGTTAATAGGGATTAATGGACTGCACACACACACACACACATTTATGCAGACACACATTTATGCAGATGCACACACACACACACACACACACACATATGAAAGAATTCCCACTCTGATGAATCTACAGTCTTTTATACATCTTTGAAGTGAGTGTATGTAAAGTGTGTGTGAGGATGAGTTTGTGCAGTTTATTATTCGACAGAACTTATCATGTAACTGTCTGCTGTGCGGCTTTCCACTGCTTGATGAGATAATTGAAGCATGAAAAATCCGTATAGAGGATGTCAAACTCTTAATGGGCCGAACAGCATGGACACTATGAGCACAGCACTCCGTGTCATACAGATTAGAAAGATTGTATCACTAGAAAGACGATTGCCTCATTTTTAAATTTTTATCAGTTTTCCAATTTAATGACCTGTTTAGGGATAATAAGACTAGATAACTGTCTGTCTCAGCTTATTTAGTTTTTAACATTTTGCCATTTAATTATTCCTCCATGAATAAGCTTTTCAACAGCTCATAAGTACTTTAATGCATGATTTATTAAGGCAAATCCAGGATGGCAATTATCTTTAATTCAAAATTATCAAGCATGCACCATGTTATCTTAAAACCTTGAAATGGAATCCTGCAAAATAAGAGAGCTTTGTGCATTAGCAGAAAACCCTTTTTTACTCTTAAACATGGCATATTTGTCATCAAGGCTTCTCATCAAAGGATTAAAAAATATAATTCATTAAAGGTGCAATGTGCAAGTTTAAATGTTAAGTAATATTTCTTTTCCTATTCATGCCCTTACAATTGCCCTACATGTACAGTATACTGTAGTTACCTTTCCTCTATAAGTTGCCTCACAGACAAGAGAGATTGATTGAGGTTGTAGGTGTTGGTGGGTAGTAACTGAATAACAGTTTTATTGTACGTTAACTGTCACTTTTACTTGATTAATATTCTTATGAAGTTTTACCTGCTTGAGTACCATTTCTGGCTAGTCTGCCCACTGTAACATTTTCGTTACGAGCTAGCCTCAGGTGAATGTACATTGAATAGGGTACCATTTTAGGAAATATTTTTTTAATTCTTACTTGTCATTTATTGAATGACTACAATATTTCGGTCGTCTACCAACCTCTGGGTGTCATACACTGCATGCCTGGTTAACCCTCCACTCTCCTCCATGCATAAAAACAAAAAATGACACAAATGGAGGGGTCATCACACATTGAAATATGGCAACAAAGCTAAATGGGCTTGAATTTCTTATAACCAAAGAAGACTTTTTATATTTTCTCTTTGTTTCATGTTTTGGAAATCTGACTGATGTAGCACTTTTCATTTTTGTACAAAAAACTGTGTTTTATTGTACACTCTGTGCATTTATGTCCCCGCTCAAACACCCTCTGTTTTTAAATGGTACCAAATAAGGGAAACATTCTGAAAAAGCAATAAAGTATAAAGCTGAAAATATTGACCTAACTGATCCCTGTTATGTTGCAATTAACGACAATAGAATAATGCAAACCTAAAATGTTTGACTTTACAAATTGCATGAGCATTTAATAAGTACGTTTAATAATAATGAACAAATCATCAAGAATTTCCAATGTATGTTGACTTTACAGATACAATGGCCTCAAACGTGAAAGTAAAGAAAAAAATTAAAGAAAAAAAACACATGGGGCTTTAAGCTCTAAGTCTCCCAGATAAACATCTTTTGTCCTCATCCTACTTCTTCTTTCCACAGACTTTACGACTTGTTACAAAGCAGCATTTGCTCCCAGGGTCAACGATAGCAGGTGTTAAATCACAGCATCACAGAGGACACCTTGTATGGCATCTCCCAGATTCTGCCAGCTGTGACAAAATGGCACAATTTGATGCTCTTAGAATGAGAGGTTGGCTTGACAAAAGCTAAAGGGCTTACATGCACATTCACTTGGCAGGCAGTCTACACATGGAAGAGCACACACCGCAGCAGATGCACTGTGAAAGAAAGTGATGGTGACACCAAACACCAACAGCAGATCATGCTTACTTTGTTACTTTTTGCAGCTGCTTTTAACATGTCAATTTTTTAGCCAACTTATTTAATGAACTGACCCTAACTTTATTTGTTAGGATTTTGGTAAAATTAACTTGAACTGTTTTATCCTTCAAAGTTTTTCTGTCTCTCTAACAATGTACGTCCTCTCAATTTCTCCTCCCCTCCTTCTCCAGGTGCGATGGACAAAGACAGCAGGCAGTGCTTCAGACAAGTTTCAAGAAACATCCATTTACAACGAGACACTGCGAATCGACAACATCCAGCGGGTGCAGGGGGGCCGCTACTACTGCAAGGCCGACAATGGGGTGGGGGTGGCTGCCATCAAGTCCATCCGCGTAGATGTGCAGTGTAAGTGGGCAGGGAGAAAAGAGGAAAAGAGGACCTTCCTTCCACTTTTAGACCACAGCAGACTCACTGCAGCTATTCCCACATTAGAGAAGGCCAAGATGGGATGACATGGAAAGATAGTAGCAGGAAAGATGAAAGAATGATTGGATGGATGATAAGATTACAGGTGGGAATGGTTTCCAAGAGTATCTGATAAATTACAGTTGTAGGATGAAAAACATGCTGGAAGGATTAAGGTTGGGAAAGCTGGGTAGTAAAATTTAGCTTAATCAGAAAATGCTGTGAAACAATAATATTCTACATAATAAAAACTGTATCTTTTTTATTATTATTTTTTTTATATTACTTTATGTTGTCTTTTAAATTATAGTAATCCATTATAAATGTTCTCTTTTATTGGAAACACTACACTTTCTATTTCAAAACAAAATTTAAATTTATCCAAATTACTTTAAAAATAAAGCTAAAAGAAATAGGCTGTAAAAAAACACAAAAACAAAAAACACTTTTTCTTTTTCTTTAAAAACTAAAATATTTACAGAATGGAAGATGCTTAAAGACCCAGTACTCATATGAAAATATATATATAGAATTATAGTTTTATAGTTAAAAAACTAGTATTTCTGAAAACGGCTTGAAAACTTCTGAAAACTATGAATATTAAAATAGAAAACCATATTTGTCAGATACTCTTGGGAAAAAGTGAAGCCTGTGGGACCTAAAGTGATTTTTTTTTACAGTTAGTCCAGGTGGCACGGGCTCCCTAACACAATGTTTCTTGTTTAATTCTCAGTAGTAAGGGGATAACCATTTTTTTTGTCCATGGCTTGGAGCCAGACTAAGAGTCAGACCTTATCACAGCCAAATTTAAAATGCAAATCTGAAATCAAACGACAATTATAAGACTACTTCCACTTCAACCCCTCTCTGACCCATTGTTTAATTCTATCACTTCTCTTGGCTCTGAGACAAAACAATTCTAGATCGTATTGCAAATCCCTGTTTTCAGAACAATAGGAAATAACTAGAGAGTAACCTCCTAGTAAAAGTTTTTACTTGAAAGTTTAAAATGAAACTACTGAGATTTAGAACCCCCTGTCATGATGCACATGGCTCTTTTTAAGATCAATAAGTCAAGGATCATCATCATCGCTGCTCTGTCATTTAATGAAAAAGAAACTCACCTTCGTATAACCTTTTCTGTTATAGCTCTTTAGCAACAAATCCTATTAATTTTGCATTACCTAGCATTTGACAGCTAAAAAGCAGCATTGTGTTATAGGGGTCCTGTGCTGCTGCTTGTTTCACTGCCCCACTGTCCCAGTGAGTCATGGGTCAGGTCATGGTCAAATGTTGTTCAACACAGTACTTCACTCATCCACATTATTCCTTTTTTTAAACCCTAAGTTCGTTACATATTAATCTGTTTTTATTTTCTCCCTTTACCAATTAAATCACAAAAACACTGGATTTATAGACTTATAGAAAAAATGTTTTTCTGAGGGTGTTGCAAAATGTAACACCAATTATGCACTTTTTGCATGAAAGCATTTTCATGGCTTTGAGTAAAATAGAATGCTGTTTCCTAAAGCAGCTAACCATTCCAAGCATGCACCACAGGAATCGCACACACACACACACACACATGTTTGTGCCAGGCTTGTCCCTTTGAGATTCATCATTTAGCCTTGACCCTGCCTCAGCCTCTTAACAAGGCTCTCCCTCCCTTATTACTCCAACCCTCCTTTCTGCTGGTAATGTTAGTCCTCTCCAGGAGTTGGCTCTGTCCTTGCTGGGGATCTGGTAATTGCAGGGGGCACGGGTAGTAAACAGGTTGCACTGTGAGTGTAGTTGTGACAGGAGCTTTGTAAATCTAACCAGCTCTGACGGTCAATGCTTGTTCAAACCCCTGCCCCCCCGATGCGTAGACCCCGTGGTAATCATCCAGGCTCGCTTCACTGAGCATCTTTAGGTCCAGGGCAATGTAACAATTAGCCCAGGTTACCAGAGAAACACAGAATGAGTAAGGGAGCTGAAATGGGAGGGCAATACAGATCAGAAAGTAATTAAAACTGATAATAGAAGAAATAATCTTTATTTTATTATGGTGGGGAAATTCAGATGTCACTGAAAAAGCAATAAAAACATATATACAAAACTACAAAATATGAAAAGCAACAAAAATAAATAAACTTTGCAGGTATTAAACAATGAATTTTCAACAGTATGAAACATCGGCAAAATTAGCTTATTAAATTTTAAAACTATCTTTATTTCTCTTCTCATACTTTTAATATTTTACAGTTTTTATATCCTCCTAATCAATTAATAAATGTCAATGATTCATGTTACTTTGCATCCAGTTAAAACTGTACCTACTCAGAATCTCTCTACTAAATCTTTTTTTTTTTTTTATTACCTGAAAGTGTATTTGCTTGTGAAAACCCATTAACCCATTGAAAGCCCCAAGATTAGTTATACCAGGGTAACAGGACTCATCTTCCACTTAGTAATATTCCCTGGGAATTCACCAGTGTTGTGTTTCTGTTATTTTGTAAGCATGAAAAAAAAAAACAACCTGCAGTACATCTTGAGTCCAGCAGGTAGCAGTAATACGAATAACAGTCATAACAGTGTTTAGTCTTTAAAAGTGGCTATTATTATCATTTCTGTTTTTTCCCCCATTTTTTCCAGCTGACAAATAATAGTATATGACTAGCTTTAAAGTTATACAGTTAATTATTTCCTTCCATTTCTAACGTATATCGCTTGACATCAAATTTAAAATAATGATTTGACCTTTTTACATTTTAACCAACCTTCCTCTAGCTAGGCTTGAGTTGTTGTGTTGAATCTGCATATTAATTTACAGAAAAAAATTGACTAACACTCTTATTTTCTTTTATTTTAATGGTAAGTTAAATCTGTAATATCTACTGCACAATAATAAAATATTTTTTGTCAACATTACATATCGTAAAGAAAATGCACTTTTACAGTCAGTGCTCAGTTTGGTCATTAGTGGTGCAATAACAATTTTCTTTCTGAACTGCAGTGAAGCAGTTTAGAATTTATACCTACATTAACTAAGGATATCAAAATGTTCTGGAAAAAAATATTAAATGTATTAGTCTGCTATTAGCAGTCTTTATCCAATGCTTGAAGTGTTATATTTACTTAACCACTTGAAACAAAGGTATGGAACCCCTGAGAAGCTGGTGGGGTGAGGCAGTTCTTAATGGGGATTCTCAGAGCTATACCAGGTAGGCTTACCTAGCAAAGCAGCCAGACTGAGCTGTCAACTGAGATTTACGCTCCATCGAAGTACAGTATGATTAAAAGTAGGATCATAATCTTGATAAACTGTCCACAAAATTGATTTATGTGTTCTTTGTTGCTTAAAAAAATCTTCAAATTAGTTTTTGTGACAGACCAACTGACTGGCCGACATAACAGCTGCAGTTAGAGGAGAGATCTAACTAATCAGCCTGACTAAGCAAGCAGCTAGATAGGCCTGCAGCACAGAACTCTGATTTATAAGTAGGCTAATTCTTGATAAAGTGACACAGAGGAAGAATGGAGATTTACTTTTTTGCTTAAAAACATCATAAAACTAAGGCCAAGGAATCTTTAATTATCTTACTGTACCCCGCTTGAGGGAACAAAGCCCTGGCCAGCCAGCCTTACTTACACAGCCTTACTTACACAGCATATCAGTCTGGAAAGTAGTGAGTAGACGATGATTGCAAAGTCAGGACTAACAGAGTCAGTGAAATCTGTTCAGAAATAATCAAATAGTAATGGATGTTGTGCAATAATATCCTTTTTACAAAGCAACCAGTGTGAAAAGCAACAATATAGACAGCTCATTCAGACATTAGAATGGGCATTCATAAAAAATTATCCATTGCAATTACAATCTCATGAATAGTGGTTACAGAAAAACGCTGTTACATTATGGGCCCACCTCCCAAACTGTGATTGGGAGGTGAGCCAGAGTTAGACCAGAGTTTTGAGCTTACCAGACTGACTTACACCCCTTCTAAGTAAATCTGACCAGGCCTCCGGTAAAGTGAAATTACCCAGCTAAATATGTATGGAAGGCCTACACTGGCTTTGAAAAGCCCCAGGCTTTTAGAAAGGCAAGGGAAAAGGAGCTCAATGTTGCCAAAAAAAAAATTTTTTTTCATTTATTATTATAACAACAGCTTGCATTTAACTCTAACTGTGAAGAACATACGTAACATGAAATTTCTAAGTCTTTCTACAATACTGCTAGAAAACTTTAAGACCCTTCATTCTGTCCCTCTTTCCCTTATAAAACATTGTAAGTGATGGGAGAGAAAATCAGGTCCATGTTTTCAACGCTTAGCTGTGTTTCTTTACCAAACACAGTTGGAGTTTGCTGTAGTTCAGTTCCATGACATTAGAATTTATCTTTGTTTTTATATGATCACAATGATGCAATTAGCTGCATAAAGCATAAACGCAGATGTCATGTGCAAATACCATCTCTTTGTTTTTGCATCATGCAGCCTAATTGCATGAAGCACTTGTGCATGTTTTGTGTTAAGATTATTGCAGCAATGAAAGACTGACAGCTATGCTTAACTTGACAGTTTTTTCTCACAAAAGCTACAGTATATAACGTTTATCCAAAATTTATTTATTTATTTTCAATTTTTTTTACTTTTATGAACCTTTGCATCATTTTAATATCAAAGTTAAATTGCATGAATTTCAAAATGCTTTCTTCAGAATTGCTTTGACAAAGCGCCTATAATACACAATGCCATTGGGAACCTAGAGTAGACATTATTTTGTATGATTTTGTGCAAGTAATGGCTGATTATACTATAGAGTGGATCAGCTTAAGAAAAAGCAGAACAAAACTTTGTAGTAAAGTGCACAAACAAAAAATATCACTAAAGGTGAATTAAATTAATGAAAGTTATACCCCATAGCAGTGCTGGGGAGCTTCCTTGCATTTTTATAGACTA